AAATATCAGACAGTGATGAGTTAATATCAGACAGTGATATAACCAATGCAATACAAAATCAAAAGGTAACGGGAAGGGTGGGTGGGAACACTTTCATATCTTATCTCAGGTTATTCATGAAATTAGGATTCCATTGCACACACTACGTGTGCTTATGAAATCTACAATTTCATTTCATAACCTTCGATAAGATACTTAGTGTTCTTTTAAAGCCCTTATTATTACCTTTTCAATACTGAATTTTGAAAGCTCGACTTGTGTACTGGTTTACAATAAAACCTGGCAAAGGTACTCTCCTTAGCCCAATGAGCTTGTTGCATAATTTCAGAAACAGAAACTCCTGCCAAATAAGCTTTTGATACTGAAGCTGACCTAGTGGAATGAGCTTTAAACTGGTCAGTGTTAATACCAGCTTCAGCCATTATGGTTTTTAACCATCTAGAAATAGAACTAGTTGTCACTGGGTGATGTGCTTTTACATAACTCAGTAACAACCAGGATCTGTCTATGTTGTCTGAAACATGTCTAAAATCAACTGTTCTTTCTATATAAGATCTAATACATTCTACCACACATAAAGTGTTTGTCTCAAAAGCAGTGAATACAATAGAATGTAAAGGATTCCCTGGCTTGCAAGTCTTTGTAGGTTTAGACAATTTAAATGAAATGCAGTCACCAGAATCTATCATGAAATTCACATTCAACTGGTTAAGTTCTGAGGCTCTGCCAGCCGAGGTCAGAGCAAGTAATGCCACTAATTTACACGATAACTTTTTCAGACAAAGGCTTCTGTTATTACCTAAGTTATCAATAAACTTGAGTAAAATGTCTACATCCCAAGATTCTTGATATCTTGGTTTTGGGGTTCTCATATTGAAAATAGCTCTCATATGAGTAACAATTAAAGGATGTTGTCCTACACGTTGACCCTCTACAAGGGCATGGTTTTTGGAAATTGCAGATCTGTAGGTATTAATTGTCCTGTACTGTTTGTTCTCATTGTACAAAACAGTTAAAAACTCTAGAATAGGTTCCAGAGGGGAGTGAATTGGATCAAATGATTTTGAACCACACCAGCCAACCCACTTTCCCCAGGCACTTTTGTAAGCTGCTCTAGTTCCTGGTCTCCATGCTTGGGAGTGTAAAGAGGCAGCTTCTCTAGAAAGAGACCTTGTTTGTATGTGTTCCCCGAAACCATCCATGCGGCTAGATGAAGGGATTTGTCTGATGTGAGAGGATGAGGTAAGCCTGTTGGAGATGTTAACAGTTTGGGATATGGTGGAAGAAGGACTGGGTTGTGAATTAACATTTCTAACAGAAGAGGATACCAGGGTTGAGCTTGCCAAACTGGTGCTATCAGTACTACTGATTCTATCTGTTCCTCCCTTATCTTCCCTAAACATTTGCTTATCTGACTGAAGGGGGGAAATATGTAAGCTTTCATTCCCTTTCAAGAATGTAGAAAAGCATTGATCCCCCTGGCCCCTGGGTCTGCTTTCCAACTGTAATATTGAGGAAGTTGATGGTTTAGACGAGAGGCAAAAAGGTCTACTTTGCACCACCCTAGAAGATTCATAATTTGATTGAAAATTGGTTTGTCTAACATCCAATCCCCTGAATCTTGCTGATTTCTTGACTCCCAGTCTGCTTTTGTGTTCAGAGATCCGGGAATAAATTCTGCTACTACTAGGGAGATTTGATTTACTTGACACCAATCCCATATTTGTTTTACCAGATGATTTAGTAATGCAGATTTTGTTCCGCTCAATCTGTTTATGTGTGCTACAGCTGTTATATTGTCTATTTTTATTAAAATTTGAATATTTCTTTTTGATTTTGCAAATGATTGAACTGCCAAAAAAGCTGCCAGGAGTTCTTTTGCATTTATGTGATAGGATTTCTCTACTGGGGACCAAAACCCTCCTGTGCTTTGAGTTTCGTATGTGGCCCCCATTCCTAGGTCTGAGGCATCTGATGTGAGAATCATTGAGGGATTTGAAGCAATGATTGATTTCCCATTTGAAATTTCTAACTGATCTATCCACCATCTTAGTTCTGTTTTTACCCCACTTGATATAGGAATCATTGCTTCGTAATGTTTGTTTTCTAGTAACCCCTTGATCTGAGTCATTTGCATGCATCGACATTGTAATTTTGCTGGAATTATTGCCTGCATTGTTGAAATTAATTTTCCTATCAACTGGGACATTTCCCTGACAGACAGACTTTCTTTTTTCAGAACTTGTGTACAGTTTTCTTTTATTTTTTGCACTTTTTCTTCTGGTAATCTGAAGAGCATATTTACGGAGCTTATTTCGAACCCCAAAAAAGAAATTTCTTGGACTGCGTCTAATATAGATTTTTTCCAGTTTATCATGAAACCAAGCATCTGTAAGAGATACAGTGTTGTATTTCGACTTTGAACCAATTTCTCTCTGTTTCTGGCTAGAATAAGTATGTCGTCTAAGAAGATTATGAGTTTTATTCCTAACCTTCTTAGAAGACCTACTACTGGTTTTAAAAGTTTTGTGAATATTCTTGGAGCAGAGGCCAGACCGAATGGAAGTGTCTGGAACTGAAACATCTCCCCTCTCCATAGAAATCTCAAAAACTTTTGATCCCTTTGATTGATTGGGACTGTCAGATATGCATCTTTCAGATCTATTTTGCACATGTAAAAACCCCTTTCCATTAAATCTTGAACCATGAACAGACCTTCCATCTTGAAATGTTGATAAAGAAGGAATCTGTTTAATGGTTTTAGATTTATTATGGGTCGATGTCCCCCGTCTTTCTTTGGGACTGTAAACATGTTGCTGACAAATTGATATTGATGGGAAGTAACTCTTACTACTGCATCTTTCTGTAGCAAACTTGTTATTTCTTCTTGAAGAATGTTGTCTTGTTCTGAGCTTAAAACGGGGGGATGAGGAATTTTTTCTTGAGCTGGATGACTTATCCAATCTAAAGAAACTCCCTGAACTGTTCTTAGAATTGTTAGATCTTTTGTTATTCTTTGCCAATTGTTTATGAAATACTTTAGCCTCCCCCCAACAGGGATTACATTTTCTTGATCTACCAACTGTAGATTTAAACCCAGAATTTCTGGAAAAATTTCCGATTTTTTTAGAACTACTACAGAAAATGAGCTTAACGCTTCTTCTGCATAAGTAAGAGTTCTTTCCCTTTCTAAATTTTGAGGTATATTGTCCATACCTGTCCGACTTCTTTCTGTAACTCTGGTTAGGTCTGTTGAACCTGTATCTTTGGCCCTCCGAAAATCTGGCGGAGGGCCCATCTTGAAAGGGCTGTCTGAACCTTTGCTTATTCCCGTAACTGGTATAGGAAGTAGAAGGTCGATTGTAAAAAGTTGACTTCTTTCTTTTCTTTTTCTCTGGCTGAAAAGCATCAACTACCTCGTTAGCCTCTTTTCTTCTTTTCCCTGTCTTTTTTAAGATCTTTATAAATTTATCACCAAACAGTTTACTCCCGCTTGTTTCTAAAGCTTCAGCATTTTCATCCAAAATGGCCTTAGCCTTCTTGTAATCTCCTGTAATTTTCACCGTCGCATTGACTCTGCGATGGTGATCAACTGCTACACTTGCTTGGCCAATCAAACAAACAGACTGTTCTAGCAAAGAACACATGTGGGTCACGTCAACGTTATCAACTTCATGAGACTCCCCAGAGGCAGTACGCAGATCTTCTAGAATGCCCCACAACTTAGAAAGAGGCCCCAAGGTTTTGTAAATTCTCGACTGAATATTTTGTGCCCCTTTGTCAGCTCCTTTATCAAACTGTTTGTTTTTCTTTTCCAGTAAAGGACTGATAAAAGAATCTAATTTTTTCACTTTGAAAAGATCACCTGCATCGGGTATTGGATACTTGTCCAAGATCTTAGTTTTCAGGGTTTCGTCACTGAAATATTTAGTAAAGAATGGCTGACAAAACTGTTCCAACCCATTGTCAAATTTTTCTCCTTTTACATCGTTATTAATGTCAAATCTTTCGTAAACTTCAATCGTTTCTGACGTTACACTTCTTTTTGGTTTTGAGGTGCTACTTTCGTTTTCTCTACTTCCGGTGTTGGAATTAATGAATTCCGAACCCGACTTCTGTGACTTACGAGAAGAAGCTCTAGAATCACTGCTACTCCTAGAACCGTCAGAACTTGAAGAATCTGAACTGGAGCCAGAACTCGAACTAGAGTGTCTCCTTTTCTTCGCTCTACTCTTACTGTGAGTTTGAGCTTTGGTGTGCCCACTACTAGGGGTTTCACCTTTATCAAAATGGCGACCATGTCGAGAAACGTGTTCTCTTGAATTCGCCGGCGAACTCGACCTAGAACGCCTAGTCTGCTCTCTCGACCAGTTTGAGAAGGACATGGAACTGTCTGGTATGCTCAATACATCCGAAAGTTTCCTCATAAAACCAAGGTCGAGGGAAAAACGTAAAAAACAGATGAACACGGACACCACGAAGTGTAGTGGACCGTAACAATTCCAGGTAAGTGTCGCTCACGAGCCAAATCGAAGAATGAGTAAATTTCTATAGGGAGACTTTTTATATGGCTATTTATAGCGTCACCTAGCGGCGAGTCAAGTGGAGAGAACACTTTCATATCTTATCGAAGGTTATGAAATGAAATTGGGAACAGATTAGAACCTTAATTATGAACTGTTAATGAATATTAAGACCAATTATTTTGTTGATCATGATCACCCTATTTTTCTTGCTTTTGGGGAACAAAGCTTCACCTTTCAGTTCATTTTATACTCTATGCATCCTTTAAATTGTTGTATCATACTCAGGTGACCGTTAAGGCCCTTGGGCCTCTTGTTCAATTTTTATAATCAAGTAAAATTTTCATCCTGTAATCTGCACCCTTATATTTCTACCTCTCGGCGGGGCCCTTGCTGACTGGTCAGATTTCTAGTTCTAGTTAAATTTAAATGCATGTAATATGAACATTATTGAGTGAATTATTGTGTTTATTTCAGAAGGTAATACTTGGATCAAAAATGGGCTTTTGAAGCTGAAAGTAGAGGTGACTGTTACCTCTAAGTCTGCAAGGCATTTACTTCCTAAACAGTTGATGCCAGATGGTAAGAACAAATAGTTATCTTTTTTCAAATTTGCAATTTAATAAATTTTTAAGCATGTTGGCTGTAATAGCAGGTTATTTCAAAATGAAAAAATACATCCAATTTATAGAATTACATTTTTGAATCATAATGGAATAAAGAAAATTCAAGTAATGGTTGATACATATTTACATGTAGGTAGATCAATATTAAAACATCCTAGCTCCATGAACATAGGAACAGCAAAATCTGATTCATGTTATTACACTTGCATAATATTCCACAAAAATCAGTTTTTATACGCCCATCTTAAGAGTGGACATATTATGTTATAGCGTTCATGTCCGTCCGTCTGTTAGCTTTTTCATGTCCAGCTCATAACTTTAATACTATAAGGCCTAGAATTATCAAACTTTGTCAGCTGATACATCTTGGGTAGAAGGTGTGTCATGCATTAAAAGTAGATCACTCTGGCTTTTAATTAAGATTCTGTGGCCAAATATGGAAAAATCCTGTCCGGCTCATAACTAGAAAACAAGAAGACCTAGAATCGTCAAACTTGGCCAATTTATGCATCTTAGGTAGAAGGTGTTTCACAACCTATTTCAAGGTCACTATGATCTTTAATTTAAGTGAAATTAAGGATAAACAACACAAACAAACTTTTTCTCAGAAATCAGCAAAATATCTCATAGATTTACATTCAAATAAGTAAGCTGACTAATATTAAACCAAGTAAAATTGGACATTTTTTAAAGATTTTGTCGCAATGTTTAAAATATATGCAAAATTTTGTATAGGATTATATAGAAAACAAAACAAAGTCGCATATTTAAGCACAAAAGAAAACTTACGATTTCTTTATATTTTAGGGATTTATTATTTATATCATTTCTATTCAAAATCAGTCAAAAAATATATATCAATCCAGGCATAAAATTTTTGTTTGTGTTATGTATCCTTAAGAAAAAAAATTATGTCTTTGACTTTTAAATTACACAATCCCTTAAGAAGAGTATTGCAGTATCCTTACTAAACAAATGTTAAATCTAGAAAATACTTATTTTTTATGTGCCCGGATCGATAGATCGGGGGCGCATATTGTTTTTGTCCTGTTTGTCTGTCTGTCTGTTGTCAACTTTAACCTTCGCCACAACTTTTGAACCATGAGAGATAGAGACTTCATATTTGGTATGCACACTCCACTAATTAAGTTCTTTCAAATGACACCAAGGTCAATGACCTTGTGACAGGTCAATGACCTTGTGACCTTGACTGTGACCTATATGCTAAAAATAGCTTTTTCGAACTTTGTTGCCGCCGGGTGCATAGTGTTTCACAAACACATCTTGTTTCATTATATACTTTACAGCAATCTGTAACAAATGTAATGTTATTAGAGAAATTCCACCTCTCCCAGGGGTGTAAATATCAAGCACTGGTCAAGGAGAATTTTGATAACAGAAAATTGCATGTCAAATTAGAGAGAAATTAATAAGTTTAGTGTGAGGAGATAACTGATAGAGCATCTCTGAACAAGCAGGTGTTATCTATGTCTCTTGGGAATTGGGCAAAGGAGCCTCTTAATTGATTATGTTGTATTAAATAGTTCTTGATGGCCAGTCTAACTCTCAAGATAAATTGTGTAAAGTAATTAAAACTAACTTGATATTGTATAATATAATTAAAACTAATTTGATATTGTATGATATAATTAAAACTAACTAATATTGTATGATATTTTTTATTTTAATTTTTACCTATATATTTACAACAAATTGCAGAGTGCCATATTTCTCATTAAGATGACAATTTTATAGTCTAAAGAATAAATATAATTTGTTTAGATGTTTTATTAGGCTGTAGCATTGTCAATCCATCATAAAATATACAATAAACAAAGCTGCAGATGGGCATTTGTTAAGCTCTAACAAAAACCAGTGAAGAAATATATGATGTATTATTTGTTAATAATTAATAATAATATAGGATATGTATGTACATCAAACATTATAAGGAATGGAAAAATCATCGAAATCTTTGTATCAAGGTTAACATGATTTTCTTGCACTCTAAACTTTTTATGATAATTGAACAATATTTGACGGGCAAATCATGCTGTGGCAGGGCACTTTATTGGAATCTTTTAAAAGACAAAGCAAATTGCTGCAGTTATATATAAATGTATGATTGTGTTCAATTGAGTTTCAAAGAAGATGTAGTTTTTAGCTCACCTGAGCTGAAGGCTCAAGTGAGCTTTTCTGATCACATTTCCCCATCTGTCTGTGTTAAGTTTTCTCTGAAATTTTCTTAAGGTTCATTTGCAAAAGTTGAAATAAAATTAATTGATTATTGAATAAAGAAAATTATGGATAATCAACATGAACTAATTTCCATATTTTACATGCCTTTTAAATTTGTAGAGCCTTTATCAAATGCAGTGCCTTCATCTCCACAAACTGCTGAAGAATTCCTCTATAATAAACTGCCAGAGGATGAGGACACAATGAATGGCAAAACTTTAGAAACAACAGGGTGCTTTATGGAAGAAGGGTTGGGAACATTGAACAGAGACAAAAAGCCAGATAAAGGTACATTTTATTTAAAGTCTGTTTTCAAATTAGTTGCTTTACTAACTCTTTAATATGTAATAATTGTCTATAGATGGATACGAAGGTATGATGCTGTCCATTTTTCTGTCTTGACTTTGTTTAAGCTTTTAAATAGCAAACTAAAATGTTGCATTAGGCAGGTGTCCAATCCAGGGTGAGTCAATGACTCTCATCCAGGGTAGGCTGGGAAATACCAGTGGTTGGAATTACCAGTGGTAAATACCAGTATTTCCCATCTTAGAAAATAAATTTTTAGCTTACCTCAACAAAGTTGGGGAAGCTTATGTAATACCGTCAGTGTTGGCGTCGGCATCCCAGGTTAAAGTTTTTGGAGCACATTTCTTTTCAAGTACTTCTATGCCCTATCTTAATCAAAGATGCATGGAGGATGCTTCTAGTGTGTTTCATTGTACCAGTCAAGGTTTCAGATGCTGCAATTTCAGATAAAGAAAGACCAGTTTAATGTTTTTGGAGCAGGTTAAAGTTTTTGGAGCAGGTCTCATTTCAAAGTAACTATAGGTCTTTTATTGACCAGACTTGCATGGATGATACATCTAAGGATGCACACTACTGAACTTGCTTCAGATGCTGGATCTGACCTACATTTTGCGGATGAGTGACCAGGTTAAAGTTTTTGGAGCAGATCTCATTTCCTAGTAACTTTAAGTCCTATGTTGACCAAACTTGCATGGATGATACATCTAAGGATGCACAAAACTGGACTTGCTTCAGAAGCTGGATCTGACCTATATTTTCTGGATGAGTGACCAGGTTAAAGTTTTAGGAGCAGGTCTCATTTCCAAGTAACTATAAGCCCTATATTGACCAAACTTGCATGGATAATACATCCAAGGATGCACACTACTGGACTTGCTTCGGATGCTGGATCTGATCTACATTTTCTGGATGAGTGACCAGGTTAAAGTTTTTGGAGCAGATCTCATTTCCAAGTAACTATAAGGCCTATCTGAACCAAACTTGCATGGATGATGCATCAAGGGACGAACACTCTCAAACTTGCTTCAGATGCTGGATTTGACTTACATTTTCTGGATGAGTGACTAGTTTAAAGTTTTTAGATAAGTCCATTCCCAAGTAACTGCAAGCCCTATCAGATCAAAATTGCATAAATATTGCATCTAGGGATGCACACTACTAGATTATTAGTCTAGTGTGGGACTTTGTTTTACTTAAAGACAACATTCGTTGAGCTGAGCTCTGTAACCTCTGATTACCTATGTTTTTTTTCTAAACTGGGATATATTGGAATACTGGGAAATACAAAAATTGAAACATCCTAGCTCCATGAACAGAATAACAGCAAAATCTGATTCATGTTATCACCACTTGCATAATATTCCATAAAAAGCACATTTTTGGAATTTATTGAATGACAAAGCAAATTGCTACAGTTATATATAAATGTATGATTGTGTTCAATTGAGTTTCAAAGAAGATGTAGTTTTTAGCTCACCTGAGCTGAAGGCTCAAGTGAGCTTTTCTGATCACATTTCCCCATCTGTCTGTGTTAAGTTTTCTCTGAAATTTTCTTAAGGTTCATTTGCAAAAGTTGAAATAAAATTAATTGATTATTGAATAAAGAAAATTATGGATAATCAACATGAACTAATTTCCATATTTTACATGCCTTTTAAATTTGTAGAGCCTTTATCAAATGCAGTGCCTTCATCTCCACAAACTGCTGAAGAATTCCTCTATAATAAACTGCCAGAGGATGAGGACACAATGAATGGCAAAACTTTAGAAACAACAGGGTGCTTTATGGAAGAAGGGTTGGGAACATTGAACAGAGACAAAAAGCCAGATAAAGGTACATTTTATTTAAAGTCTGTTTTCAAATTAGTTGCTTTACTAACTCTTTAATATGTAATAATTGTCTATAGATGGATACGAAGGTATGATGCTGTCCATTTTTCTGTCTTGACTTTGTTTAAGCTTTTAAATAGCAAACTAAAATGAAAGTAACCTCGGCGTTTTACATTCGAATACGGAATTAGAACGCGGTTTTTTTCAAATTTATAATTAGCAGCTGTGTTAACTAGTAGAAAAACCCCGAGATTTTCGAATGTGTTTTCGTTTTCTGTCCCTATCAACTGTCCTAAAGAGCGAGTTTGGATTATTATTAGTCTGAAATGTGTATTGTAGAGGCTCCAAGGGGAAAATTTAAGCATTATGTCCTAGAAGAATCATTACTTGACAGATCCGAGGCGGTGAGTCAGTAAAATACGGGAAAATATAACGAAAACAGAGGTTGAAGCGAGGAAGGGGTCCAAAATGGCGTCCTCCCTTGTGTAGTTTTAGTATTAACGTATATGATTTTTTTTAAATAAATAATTATTACACGCCGGGAGCAAGCCCCTGTGCTTAAACCTGATGTAAACAAGTATACTAAACAAAGTTTAGTTATAGGTGTTGCCATAGTTACTAACTTAGAAAAGCTAGAGTAGGTTGAAGTTTTTCTTAATGCTACTCCTCCTACAATTTTGACTGCAACAAAATTTGGTACAAGTTCAGAAAAGTTCTGGATACATACATGTAACTACAAAATGTGTTTCAAGACAGTTGCTATTTTTCTCCTTGTTTTGTGTAAGTACAAACCAGTACAGCTACAGTCTCATCAAAGACATTTGGTAGCTTTAGCCTTTAGGACTGCCTTTAGAATAAGTAGAAAAAATGTACATACATTGGAATTTTTTTTTTTTGAATAGATTTATTCAAGAAGAAAAAAGAGAATGTTGAAAAGATGTCAGAAAGATCAAAATATGGAGCAGTGAAGTCGTATGAAGATTTTCCATCCTGCTACCACAGATTAAGTTGGCTATTACAGTGTCTAATAGCCTTCACAAAAGTCATCATTGAATGTTTTTCCATACAAACTCATTCCATGCTACAAGTATTAGTACCTATCCTTTTGTTGATATCCAGGTCAACTGGAGTAAGTACTAATGTTTAAAGATGCCAAATAACTCTTTGTAAGGAAAATGAAGATGCAGTCTGTATGGCCCCTGTAAAGTATTTATTATAATGCTGTTTTATAATTACTCCATTTTTTTTTCTCAGTTTGAAGAGAAATTTATATAAGGTGAGCATGATTGACCTTGGCCCTCTTGTCTCTAAATATTGCAACTGATTGAGTTGTATTCAACAAAATTTAGTTTGAAAACTTTTAAATTAGTCTAATTTACTTTAGGGACAGTGTTGGTAAAAAAAAATGTGTTCCTGGTTTTATATAGGGATTTGGAGGAAAATTTTAATTAATGGTCTCTTTTAAAAGGATATAAATACTCAGGTACTGTTTCAATACATTACAGAGACCATTTTATTATATTGATTAATTAGCATTGAAAAAAATAGCATTTAGAGTCACTAGTATAAGCACTAGCATGGGTCATGCAGCAAACAATCAGGAAGCAGAACCAGCATTACGATAGTCTGTCCCATGATACCATGGACATCACTTTTTGCAAATTACATCCCAAACAGCTAGGGCTATTACATATGTAAACTGCATGGAGATTTGATCAGTAGATCATTTTTCCATAACAAAGAATAACTAACAGAGAACCAGCATCATTTCCTATTGGTCCATTCTTGTAATATCACTATCTAAAACTACTGAGAAATCACATGCATTGCGAACCCACAAAAATAATAGCATTGGGGTAAGTGGTGTGTCAGCAATAGGAAACCGTGGCAAATGAAGTCTGTGGAAAAATGTGAATATTTAAATAAGATGGAAGGGGGGGGGGTGACCTCCCCCTTTTTTTGCAGAAAAAATATCAATGAAGATACCCCCTCTCCCTATATACACGCACACACTTCTGTTTTTCTTCTCTTTCTGTTTCTTTTCTCTTTGTTTTCTTTTTGTTTATTTTCTTTTTCCATTTCATTTCTTTTCGTAGTTTACAGGTACCCAACTACATGTAACAGTATGTAGGAGCTCAAAATTAAATGTATGTGACTGTCAATTTCTGCAATATATATAATTATACATGTAATTAATAAGAAATGATGGGAAGGGAGAGTCCCAGCACAAGTTCGTTTATGCATAAAAGTTGGGACCAAAATCAAATATTTAACCAGAGTAAGATTTTAAGCATGATGCACAGAACAAAGTCAAGATAAGCTTATACTAACCCCCCCATCATTGTCCCAGATTAAAGTTTTAGGAGAACAATTGTAAATCCATGCCCAAGTAACTACATGTACAGTAAAACTTGTCCAATTTGGACACCACTGTTTCTAAAGAAATTGGCCAGATAAGACAGCAGTGCATATCAGACAACATTTTAAACAATTGAATTTACTGAAAAAGATTACAATTTTCATTGTAATAAGCAGATTTTGGATTACACAACATCTGGAGTAGACAATTTTTATATGATTTGTGTGGTTAATATTTTTGGAGGAAGTCTCAAGTAAATTTTAGTTCTATTGGGACCAAAACTTGCATTAATGTTGCATCCACCAGTACCAGATTGGCTTTGGATGCTGTATCATATCCATTTGTTTTAGATAAGTATGGCCACATTAAATGTTTTAAAGCAGGTCCCTTCATAAATGGATGATTAACTTAGAGATAAGCATCAGTTGCATTGCTTAAGTTTCTGTACGTGACATGACTTTATAGTTGCTTAATGAAAGGCTTATTATTAAGAACTTACAAATCTTCCTGAATATTTCATATGTTTACATGCAGTTATGAGATTTGCCATCCTCATAAATAATATGCATTGTGGTAATCTAAATCTTTGATTAATTTCTGCATATTCCTCAGTAAAGCCTGTATTAAAAGCTTTTCTCTATTCCTTCTTATATTGTAAAAATTGGAACAGTTATTATATACTTTCGAGAATCAAATCAGCACCATATAATTGATAGTTTAAACTTTCTTTAAAGGTGAAATTAGATAAAGATGTAATGTTATGTAATACAGTATTTATTCTGAGTGAAACTGATGTTCTTATAAATGAAGCAAAACTTCAATATAAATTTGCAAGACCAACTAAAAATGCTTATTGGGATGTTTGTCCATCATTTGCATGAGAAAACGAGTACATGTAAGAATTTAATTCAATAATTTCTTTAAAAACATAATGAAGTGCTTTCTTAAGCAACTGATGTGCAAGAATACTAATATACTCTAGATGTAAATTTTTGAAATCATGACCTTCCTATTAATTAATTTTTGACTATCATAACTTATTTCATTTTAAGTTTATTTTTCATAGGAGCAGTGTATAACCGAGGCAGCACTTGAAGTTGGCAATATTACTATTCTCAACCCTTGTGAAACATGTGATTCCCACAAAGTTAACCTTCACTGTCAAGGCAATAATATATCTGTGTGTTTGAAAATTTTCCCCACTTCACAATTTGCAGTAGGATGTGCTCCAAATATCTGCATAAATGGTAAGTAATATTCAATTATTTGAAACTCATAGGGTGGTGTGCTTTTTAGTTCACCTGAGCTGAAAGCTCAAGTAAGCTTTTCTGGTCACATGCATTTTGTCCATTGTTCTAGCTGTCTGTCCATCTGTAAACTTTTCACATTTTCAACTTCTTCTCCTGAACCACTGGGCCAGTTTCAATTAAACTTGCCACAAAGTATCCTTGGGTGAATGAGATTCAAGTTTATTCAAGTGAAGGGCCACACCCTCTTTCAAGGGGAGATAATTAAGAATTAGTGAAAATTTATGGTATCTTTTAAAAGAAATTTTCTGAAGAACCACTGGGCCAAAAAAGTGAAACTTATATGAAACCTTCTTTACATACACTGTAGTGTAGATTCAAGTTTGTTCAAATCCTGACCTCTGGAAGTAGGGTGGGGGATAACAGTTTTACATAAGAATATATAGGGAAAAACTTGAAAAATCTTCTCAAAAAAAGCAAAGTTATTTTTAGTCATATTGATATGGAAGCATTCTCAGGTAGTGTAGATTCAAGTTTGTTCAAATCATAACATTTTGGGGGTAGGATGGGTCCACAATGGGGGATGAAATTTTTACAAAGGAATGTATAGGAAAAAATCTTCTTCTCAAGAACAGAAATGCCATGATTAGTCGACATGTTTATATGGAAGCATCCTAAGGTAGTGTAGATTCAAGTTGGTCAAATGATGACCCCCGGGGGTAGGATGGGTCCACGATGGGGGATCAAAGTTTCACATAGGAATATATAGGAAAAATCTTCTTCTAAGGAGGAGAAAAGCCATGTTTAGTCATATCAGTATGGAAGCATCCTCAGGTAGTGTAGCTTAAAGTTTTCACGAATGATGACCCCCGGGATAGGGTGGGGCCACAATGGGGGATCAAAGTTTTAAAATGGAATATATAAGAAAAAAATCTTCTTTTAAAGAACAGAAAAGCCATGTTTAGTCATATTGATTTGGAGGCATCTTCAGGTAGTGTAGGTTTAAGGGAGCCGACTGGGGTTTTATTGTGTGAAAACTACTATAGAGAAACTCTTTAATTTTATACCATATGTACCTTACATTGACTTCAGTATATATGCCAAGTTTAGTGAACATCTACCGTGTGGTTATTTTTTTAGGGACCATCTCAAAATACAGGTACATTTACTATAGGATTATATAGGAAAATACCATTTTTTTGCACTTCGGAGCAAATTATACAAATGCTACTATAGACTTTTTGCTCAAATTATATTATTTGATGGGTAATACTATATTGTACATTTTATGCAAGAAACACAAAATTCTACCGTCTGGTTTCCAGAGGGGGCATCTCAAAATGCCAAAAATCATGATATTTTCCTGTTTTTATGGAGTTCAACAAAACATGACAGATACCACAGATTTACATAAAAAATAAGAAAAATGATTGTGAGATTCTCAATTTCCTATGTTAAAAATTTCAAGAGCATCTATTTTATACTTTTTATTTTATGACATAATTAATGACCCCGCTTAAAGAACTTCGTTTATTCATAACGTCAAAAACACGCTATTACGACGTCTATCTACCCATGATTTGAAAAATCGTTTAAAAAAATCAATTATTTAAAAACATAATAAGATTTTTTAACCTTAGATTTTCTAAATTTGTTAATTTTTATAAATTAAGTAAAAATAGTTGCTTTAAAAGAGTAAATACGCTTTATTTTACTATGCTGCGCGAAGTATTGCGCAATGAAAACCCCAGTCGGCCTCCTTAAGTTTGTTCAAATCATGACCCCCAGGGGTAGGATGGGGCCACAAGGGGGGGATCAAATTTTTACAAAGGAATTTATGGGAAAAAATCTTTAAAAATCTTCTGCTGAAGAATTTCAAAGCCATTTGTTATATTGATATGGAAGCATCCTCAGGTAGTGAAAATTCAAACAAAAAGTATTCAGTATTACTCAGGTAGTGCAGATTCTAGTTCATTGATGGCCCCCAGGGATAGGATGGGGCCGCAATAGGAGATTGAAGTTTAAACGGGAAAACAGAGAAAAAAACTTCTCTTCAAAAACAGCATGGCTGTGATAAGTTATATTACTTTATATGCAAGTACCCTCTGGTAGTGTAGATTCAAGTTTGTTCATATCATAGCCTTGGGGGTAGGATGGGGCCACAGGAGATAATTTAAAGTTTTACATCAAAAAAAGGGATAAACAATTTTAAAATCTTCTCAAGAACAGCTACACTGTAGATATTGAAGCATCGTAATGTTGTGTAGATTAAAGTTCAGTTAATTCGCAATCTCTTGAGGGTAATTGGTTTGGGCCTTAGGTTGGCGTATAGAATTCATGAGAATAAAGAGGGGATAAATCTTTTAAAAATCTTGTGAAGAATAGCTAAGCCAAGGTATCTCAGGTGAACATTGTAGCCCATAGGCTTCTTGATGTCATACCCAATACCCAGCGATGTGATGTAACGAAAAATTAACTGAACAAGTAATGTAAACATTATCATGGAATGACCAGTGAAATACTAATTCTGACATTTTATTTCCCATGGAGATCTTGATTTCTTTATACCCGGGGGTATATTGTTTTTGTTCTGTCTGTCTGTCTGTCTGTTTGTCTGTTTGTTTGTCTGTTTGTCCGTTTGTCTGTTTGTCTGTCTGTCTGTTAACAACTTTAACCTTGCCCATAACTTTTGATTGGTTGGAGCTATTACTTTCATATTTTACATGTGTATTCCTTGTGACAAGACCTTTCTTTGGGTACCATCATATTTGACCTTTTGACCTTGATCTTGGAGTTTGACCCACTTTTGCAAAATTTTATGAGACTTTAACCTTGGCCATAACTTCTGAACAGTTGGTGCTTGGGGTTTCAAACTTCACATGTGTATTCTTTGTGACAAGGCCTTCCTTTGGATACCAACAACTTTGACCTTTTGACCTTGACCTTGGACTTTGACCTACTTTTGAAAAACTTTAACCTTGGCCATAACTTTTGAACAGTTGGTGCTTAGGGTTTTAAACTTCACATGTGTATTCCTTGTGACAAGACCTTCCTCTGGATATCAACCACTTTGACCCTTTGACCTTGACCTAGGAGTTTGACCTACTTCTGAAAAACTTTAACCTTGGCCATAACTTTCGAAAGGTTGGTGCTAGGGCTTTCATACTTCACATATGTAATCCTTGTGACAAGACCTTCCTTTGAATACCAACCACTTTGACCTTTTGACCTTGACCTAGGAGTTTGACCTACTTTTGAAAAACTTTAACCTTGGCCATAACTTTTGAATGGTTGATGGTAGGGCTTTCATACTTCACATATGTAATCCTTGTGACAAGACCTTCCTTTGGATACCAACCACTTTGACCCTTTGACCTTGACCTAGGAGTTTGATCTACTTTTGAAAAACTTTAACCTTGGCCATAACTTTTGAATGGTTGGTGCTAGGGCTTTCATAATTCACATATGTAATCCTTCTGACAAGATCTTCCTTTTGATACCAACCACTTTGACCTTGACGTTTGACTTTTATTTAAAAAACTTATTTAAAAACCGTCTCCATAACTTTTGAACAGTTGTATCTAGGTCTTTCAAATTTCACAGGTGTATTCCTTGAGACAAGATCTTTCTTTGGGTATCAACATTTTTTATCTTTTGGCCTGGATTTTGACTTGCATTTGAGAAACTTTTACCTTTGCCATAAGCTGCCATATGGGGGCATCAGTGTCTCACAAACACATCTTGTTTATCATGTTTATTGAATTCAAGAAGGGAAGTATACCTTAATTTAACTAAATTTAGTTCTAGATCAGTATAAATTAAGCATAAACTGGGCAACAGTTGTCATGAAGAAAATTGACATACAGGAAGGATAACTCTTGGTAGAATTTAACATTTACGAGAAATTCAAATGGCAGCAAAATTGGCAAAAAATAATATGTATAATAATGATACTGAACATGTCTCTCTATTGGTAACTGTTAGAAAGAGAATAATATATATACCCTTTTCCATTTGACATTCTCTATCAGCCCGAGACACCAATATCAGCCAGAGGGCCGAAGATCCATAAGATCCATGTCAGCCCTGCAGGATCCGTATCAGGGCTTTTGTGACAGCAGCGCAAGGCATATAGCATATGCCAAAAAATCTGTAGTTGTAACTATGTATGTAATAAAGTACAATAAAGTGTGCTAAGTTTTCCAAAATAATTTTTTTCAGAAACAAGATGAAGATAACGAACATTGATCAATCTCAAAAAATCTACAAACAAATCTGTGACACAGGGCATAAAACTGGATTGCCAGAAATTCCATGATTATTTTAATTTTCATCAATATGATTGAATCAACTGATTATCATGTTGAAAAATCCTTAAATAATAGTTTTGCTTCATTTGAGACATATACAGTATATATATATTTGTACCTGTTCAGCTACCTTGATGCAAAATAAACTAGACAGAACCAAATTATTACTAGTCAGAGTTGGTTGGAACTGCCTTAATGTTGAGGCCTGTAGTTACCAGTAACAACATGACTTGTGTACATATAAGATCACTGAAAGAACAATTTGAAAGTCAAGCAATGAGAGAATGTTTGGATATTATACGGACCATAATGAAATTGTTTGTTATTGTGAACAATGTAGACATAAAATTTTTGGAAAACATTTACCTCCACCAAGTGAATTCAAAATACATTTACCTACAACATGATGCAAACATCTTTTACCCTAATCATGCTAATTGTACAATACATGTATAGCAGTTGCTGAATGGGCTTTTAGTTTTCATGTTTGGCAGTTGTACATGTAATAATGTAATCTAATTTAATGCAAATAAATGTATTAAGTGCAGAGGTATCTTGTAGCACATTGTTTCCCACAGATTAAAGAGGCAAATCAAGTCAGATTTATAATTTCCTAAGAAGTCAGTTAGTACGACTGATTTTTATCATCCCTGTACAAATTAACTTTACTTTGTTCAGATGGATGCCCCGAGTGGAATGGGGGAAATGGATCATACAAGATCCAGTATAGAAATGGAGGGTGCAGTTCCATTTGCCAAGGGCATTTTAGTCTTGCCGAGTGGATCAAAAACTGCACAATATCACCGACCCCCTCATTAGAAAACAACTGCCTCCCAACAACATCAGATGAAAATGGGTAAAATATTTAATTTTTTAAGCATGTATTTATATTTTAAAATATTTTATAAAAAAGTACAAGAAAAAAAATATCTTTTATACAGATCAGTAAGACAACAATATCCTGTTTATTAAATATATGCAAGCATTCAATTGTACATATAGATTAAGTATCACTCAGGTCATGACCTTTGATTTCAGAATGTGACAACAATAGGCAGGTCTTTAATTATGGCATACACCTATATCCACCAGGACATATTATCATTTGATTTATTTGTAAGATGTAATTTCGGCATACCCTCTAAGTGACATTTCGTAACCCACAGGTTTTCTGTCCGGTTATATTTCTATCAGAAAAGAAAATTTAAGCAGATTGAAAACCCATGGGGTACCAACAGTGAAGAACTATATGTTTTTTTAGGTAATCTTGCAAAACTACTAGACCAGAAATGATGAACCTTGATTGAAGTAATTGAATACTTAATTTTTACTAAATTATTAAATATAGATCAAGTATGTTTACAATAAATCATAGCCGGAAGGGCCTGGGTGAAACAGAATAGGCCCGGGCTTAAATTTTTAACAAAGTCTTATCAAGAACAGCATCCCACAATTAGACATATTTTTATGATGTGTGTCATCTCATGATCATGTGATGTAGATCTGAGTTTGTTCAAATCACAGCCTCCTGGGCTGGAGCATTGAGTGACAATTGAAAGTTTTACATACGTATTAAATATCAGAAAAATCTTTTAAAAATTTCCTCTGAGAAAGAGCAACATTTGGCAATTGAGTCATATCAAGAGTCAAGTATCCCCATGCACAAGGGTATAGTTAATATTTCAGGGTAGAAAAATCAGATACAGTAATTTACTTTTCTTAATACCAGCGTGACTCTAATAGTCAGATAAGTTGCAATACATGTAGCATCCAATTATAGGGTTCATGTTACTTCAAATCACAGCCCTTCCCCTTTACTTTTGGGCTCAATTGGGCCATTATAGAAAATAAGCATTTTTCACGGATGTACATAGGGGAAAAAACTTTTATATTTTATTTCCTTCAAACAGTATGGCTACAATTTAATTCAGACACTTTTAACTAAAAGCGTCACCATGTAGTGTTTGTGGGCTTGTGTCGACCATGTTAGGGGTTCAAAGTTTTATTGGAGATGTATTCATTGAAATACATACACTTCTGTGGACAAAAAGACTTCAATTTATAAACATATACATTTTAATATATAAACCCATAAGCTTTTTATTAAAATTTATTTCTTCAAATCATTAAGTTTAAGCTGATGGCTAATAAGAGGTTTTATTTATCTACATATATTTACATCCACTGCTACTTTATTTCTTAAGAAAACCATTGCTGTTTATCAGTCAGTAAACAGCAATTTATAAGCATATGATTTCTTGAGCAGTGGCTCTTCCATCAATGAAACATACAATATTTTAATGACATACATATCAAAAATACAATGTTTAATCTGCTGAATTCTACTATAGATGATTATATGTACAGATATAAATTTAAACAATAAAATGTCTTTCTTGGTTTGTTAGTATGGGAGTAATGTTGCAGCTTTTGCAGAAAAAAATTACATAACCGGCTTATACGGGTTATGCATTTTTTTCCTGCAACAGCTGCAACATTAATTCCCATACTAACAACCAAAGAAAGCATTTTATTGTTTAAATTTATTCATAACATTGCTGACCATTATACCTCATAAGTTATCCATTAAAATGTGAATACTTTCTGCAGACAGATGTAAATATAATCAGAGCTGCAAAACAGATGATCATAATAAAGGAGGCCTTTTTTTTTTTTTTTTTTTAGATCTGATTCTGTAGTGATAGTGATTGTTAGTTTCTCAATAGTAGCAGTTGGAATAGTAGTAGGACTTTTGATCCTTTGGAAAAAGCAGCTTTTGGTAAGTCTACTTAATTAACAAACACATTTCTTAAGGGTACAACAATTTCACAAGGCTTTTCTTTTCTTTTCAAAAAATCAATTATTAGGGCCCCGCTCTGCGTGCACCCTATAGTGATCAGTCTGTACATCCATCTGTCTGTCCATCCATCTGTCCATCCGAGATCTCTTGTCCGGAGCATATCTTCTCTCTCTTTGGCCCAATCTGGCTCATACTTCACCTACAGAGTGTCTTTGGGTAAAGGGTGTGCAGTGACCTTGAACCATGTTTCTAGGTCTAAGGTTATAGCAGAATTATATGAAAAATCCTTGTCCGGAGCATATCTTCTATTCTCTTGGTCCAATGTGGCTCATACTTCACTCACAGAGTCAATGGAAGTGCAGTGACCTTGAACAAAGTTTCTAGGTCAAGGGTCAAGGTCAAAAATAGCCTCTCTTTTTAAATTCTTGTCCAGAACATATCTTCTCTTTCCTTGGTCCAGTGTGGCTCATACTTCACTCACAGAGTGCCACTGGTCAATGGATGTGCAGTGACCTTGAACAGAGTTTCAGGGTCAAGGTCAAAAATAGCCCCTCTGTTTAAAATCTTAGTTCGGTGCATAATTCCCTTCCCTTAAGTCCAGTCAGCCTCAAACTTTACCAATTGACTTGGGTACGGGTACGGAACATTTGTGATTTTCCTTCCATATTTTGATAGAGGATATGCAACAATTTTCATAGAGGATATGCAACATTCGTGATTTTTGTGCCCTTTTTTGATAGAGGGTATGGAGCACTTCTGATTTTCATGCCATTTTTTGTTATAACAAGGATGACATAGAAGCCCATTAGACTCCAACAACACATCCCTTAATAGTGCACAAATGTTCCTTTTCAAAATAAACCCTTTCAGCTACCTTACATTTTCACGTTCGTTGCTGAAAGTGGGGCTCTTTGAGATGGCCACCATCTCAATGATATCTAGTTGAAATCCTGTTTTATAGGTTTTGATTCTTTTTTGCAAACGTAGTACCATATGTTAATGCACAGGCACTTGGGGTATGGACCCTCCCCCCCTTTTTTTTTTCCATTTTTTTCTTTTTAAATCTGGGGTCAAGTCACCTTTTTCCTATTTTTGTGTTCTAATATGCACTATATGTTATCCATAATGTAACCCTTTTGTCTCTATAAGCTGTTTTTAAATAATATCGTTTTCGACTGATATATAAAAAGAGAGAAGGCTTGCAACTCTCTTCTTGTTGTCTGCCTCACCTCACTTCAACTTCGCCTGATTATTTATCTAAAGCATAGGAAAACATGGTTTATGCATACATCAATAAATTTGTTACACATTCCTCTGCCTTTTTACATTTTCACAGTTTTGACTTTTTTGTATATGCAAGTTCGATGTTCATTTTCTAACATAGCGAGTAACAATTTCAACAATTTAACATTGAAATAAACTACATACATGTACAAATGATGTTTTCAATGTAGTGGGACATAGAATATGTAAAAGGTAATACCATGGCTGCCTAAGAAAGTCAAGTATATATATATATATATATATATATATTAGGGATGTCAAATCGGTCAATTTTGATAATCGGTTAGTCGGACGTTTCTGATCGAGTACCCGGGTACTCGGTAAAAATGAAAATACAAGTGTGTAAATTTTCTTGAGCCCGGTTACGCTCTGTTAAACCTCAAAACTGTTTTATCACGTTTATAAATGTATATAAACAATTGAGTCAAAGGGAAATGACTTTTTGGTACTAAATTTATTTATCAAATAAACACAAAAGACACAATTAATACATAAAAAATTACAAATGGTTTACAGTTCTTGTTTAGGATCTACGTATTTCATCAATGAAAAAGGAGGACAATCTGTTGCGCAGGTTTGTGTGATTAGATTAGCGAAAGGGAAGGAACGGAACGTTGTTGGGATCGCTAGTCTAATATTGTTTGTTGTTTCCCCCGTATACATTAAACTTACTACGCAAACTGACTTTCAACATTTTCTTAATCTTTATTTATTTCCAAATATTTCTTCACTTTTGAAGTGAGTAGCTGCATTTCTATGCATGTCCGATTTCGCTGCCGTATATTAATTAAATAATTTAAAATCGATTTGAAGATAATAGACCATACTTAAACGATGTTCACTGAAAACGATCATTGAAGCCATCCAATAATTAGAGACCGAAATAGGTGAGAACAGCTGTGTACCAGTTGATTGGTCACTAATTACTGTATATACACAGCCACAAGCGATAACGGGTGTTTTACAGGTGTAGATGACGACACGCTAATTATCGAATGCATTTTTAAGTTATTTTTTGATAAGTCTTTGATAAAAATATGAGCTTTGAAATAAAAAAAATATACTTCCCGAGTAACCGAGTACCATTTTTAGTATTCGATACTCGAACGTTCGATCGAGTACCCGGTTAACCGGGTACTCATTGACATCCCTAAAATATATATATATATATATATATATATATATATATATATATATATATGAAGTAATGCAATATTTTTTTTATTGTAGCAAAGTATTCAAAAATGATACCTATCCCTCCTCTTCTCAAACATTTGCACAAAAATCAAGAAATGCTTCAGATGATAAGCTAGGACTATGAAACTTGAAGTTTTTTTGCATGTCTTTTATTCCAGCATTTCATAACTAATTTATTAAAACCACCTTGCAGCTTCAGATGGTCCACAATATTTTAGTTGATGTCAAACACCTGCAGGTTGAAAATGTCAAAAAGCTTATATTCTAATCTGACAAGTAATTCAACCCTTAGATTACTATTTGCATTTTAGTTTGTTTAATCAAGGCCTGTTTTGACCAGAAAATTAATTCAACATATTGACATTTCAGATTATGAAGCTTAATTGTAATACAATGTAAGAATTTAAATAGAAGTCAGTTAGCATTACCAATTTTTTGTATGTATTTCTTTTTTTTAGTGCTTCAGAAAAAACAGAGCTAATAGAGATGAAATTGAACAAGTGGGTTTAAACCTGAATCCCTAGCAGTGGTGGAAGAAGTAGATAGTCTGATTAAATGATGATGTTTGATCAATAACATGTAATATGGTACCAAATATTACCAGGTTCTAAACTGACTGATTGATTGATTATCTGTTGCTTTATGATGAAGTTCAATGTATTTCAGCAATATATTTTGGTGGTGGGTAAAAAGTAAACATGTAAAGACTCAGATGTTCTGTTTTGAAATAAATGTAGTTTTTAGCGGGAATGTTTTGTGCATTTTCTTACATGATTGTGTAACTTATTTTACATGCATAAAAGTGTACACCTAAGCCAAATGAGGCATTCATCCCTTTACAAAAAAAAATTATTTCATGTCCCCTGAGCATCCTGGGCTACACTTCCTTTATACTATATTTTTGACTTCAAAATGTATCAAATTTTTCATTATTTTTCTATTTCACTACTTGACAGTTAATAAATAGATGATATTCAACATTTTGTAGATGAATATGGAATTTATTTCACAAGTGGGACAGGATTTTTTGATATTTTCACAAGTGCAAAGCACAAGTGAAAATATTAAAAAAATCCTGTCTCATGAGTGAAATAAATTTCATATCCAAGTACAAAACATTGAATTTTCTGTTTATTAGATTTTCCCTTTGCCTCTGTCTTTTCGTAACACAGTGTCATAGGCTGTGACATCATAGTTGGGGGGTTGAGATGTCATAGGAATTTAGTGAATTTCATGGTCCCTGGGTCAGGGGTTGGGGGGGGGGGGCTTATTTATTATATACTGAAAATAAATTAATGATTTGAAAATCTCCTCTGCCCCTTAGTATTAAGCAAACAAACTAAACACATGGTTCTGGTGAGAAAGGGTGCCTCTTCCAAAATTGTGAATTTCGTGGCCCCAGGGTCAGGGGTTCTTGTGCTTGAGTGGGACTCTATTTATTGATTAATAAAAATACATTAATGCTTTGAAAATCTTCTCCTCTGCCCCTGAGTACTAAGCAAACAAACTAAATGCAATAATATCATTGTAAATGTATTAAATAAAAATATAAGTAATTGTGCCTTTTCTTTTCTCCTGGGTATCTAGGAGGCAAACAGAGTACACAATTGTAATAAGTGAAGCAAATGAGAGTTACTCCCCTTTGCTAGATGTTGTTAATCAAGAAATCTTTGTACATAATCTAATTAACAGGTTATTTGATTGAATGAGAATACAAGAGAGAATGTTATTTATTACATTTTCAACAGTGAAATACTGTGATTTATTTATTGAATAAAGTTGATATTCTCTCGCAGTGTGAAAGGATACCAAAGTGATATCCTCTCACAGTGTGAAAGGATATCAAAGTAGGTAAAAAAAAAAAATTCTGGCCTGTCATAAGATAGAGATAGTAACTAAACCGTCTTGATGGAGACTGAAACTGCCAAAGTTTCTCCAAATATGTTGTTAAAAATCCGTTTTTCAATCTTGCAATCGCTTATAGCTATCATATGACGTCTCAACCGCTCAACTATGACGTCACAACCTATGACACCCTGTTACGAAAAGACGGAGTCAAAGGGAAAATCAAAGAAAATGTAATAAACAGAAAATTCAATGTTTTGTAGATGAATATGGAATTTATTTCACTCGTGAGACAGGTTTTTTTTTATATTTTCACTCGTGCTTCGCACTCGTGAAAATATATAAAAAAAAATCCTGTCCCACGAGTGAAATAAATTCCATATTCATCTACAAAACATTGAATATCCTCTATATATATAGAAACAAAATAAAAATGAATGTTTGGTGTAAATGAGCAAAGCATTCTCAAAGTCAGATTCTTGCCTGGAAAGCAACATAAAATATTGAAACAAAGATTATTTTTATATTTAGCAAAAGTTGTAATTGTACATAGTATGTTTACACCGTGGTATTCTGATTGACAGTAGATGAGTTATTGTCACTGGTAGAGTCATGGTTGACAAGAGACTGGACGAAGTTGTTTTATACTTTATCAAAGTGAATTAAAAATCACAGAGAGTCGGGGTGACTTATTGTAATTTGTGACAAGTGGCAAATAGCCATGTTGTATATCCAAGTCTGTGTGTACTGAATTGTAGCACTAGGCAAGTGACAAAAACATATCTGTATATATTGAATACCTTACACAATAGGCAAGTGTCCATTGTATTTGTATATTTTACATTCATTAACATCCCTGTAAGACTTTGGAAAACCAAGTATGATCCTAAGGAGATCACTCGGGTCTAACATGTTACAATAAGCAAGGGTATTTTTACCAGATTTTTGAAATTCTTGGGCAACATTGCTTCATCTATTAATTAATTTTGTTTTATACTTCTGTGGATCCTTTACAATGTTGTATTATACTCAGATGACCGTTAAGGCCCTTGGGCCTCTTGTTTAAAAACACTATTCGTGAAGGGAAGGAAAATCCCAAGTTTTGCCGCACTTCTGATATTCTCACACTGTGAGAATTAATACATTTTGATATCCTTTCACACTGTGTCAGAATACCACTTTTATTCAGTAAATAAACTGGAGTATTTCATGGCAGCTCATCCCCAAGGTTGAAGTACTTGAAGAGTAGTCAATCCCCAAGGCAAGGTCAGGATGTCAAAAATATCTGTACCTCAAGAAAGATCTTGTAACAACAAGGATATGAAAGCCTCAGTACCAATGGTGTAGAGGTTATGACCTAGGTTAATGTTATACTCCAAGGTCAAGGGGTAAAATATTGGTATCCAAAAAAAGGTTATGCATGTGAAATATGAAAACCCTAGCCCCAACTATTCAGAAATTATAGCCAAGGTTAAAGTATTTCAAGGTTGGTCAAATCCCCAATGTCAAGGACATGAGGTCAAAATTGTTGGTACCCAAGGAAATGTCTCATCACAAGGGTTACACTTGTGAAATATGGAAGTGGTAGACCGAACCATTTAAAAGTTATTTCCAAGGGTAAAGTTTGTGTGGACAAACAGACTAACAACCAAAAACTAGAGCTCATAAAAGTTTTTAACCAAACATGCTTTTGTGAAAAAATTAAATGCACATTTTTGACGGAAAACAAGTGCTTATATTGAAAATGGTGAAGAGTAGGAACAGTGATCGATCTAAGCAAAATTTACAAACAATACAAATCCGTGCACAACAGGGCATAAAGCACGAACAGCTGGAAATTCCACAGGCGCAAGTAGGAGTGAACATCCCCTATCAACCGGTCACTCCAGCCGTGAACCCTATGTATTGATCAGGTAGACAGAATTATTCTGAAGTCAAATTTAGTATAAAAACAAAAGCATACAGTTTAGCAATTGGTATATGAAACTCGATCGTCAGACAAAATACGACCAAACAATATATTTGCTATAGGTTACATTTTCTTACACTGCTGGTAAAGTGCGAATCGACATGTACAAAATATTGGTTTCGGATACTCGCTACTATTGGCACCTGTGAAATGTCTGGATTTTTGAAATAACACAATAAAAATCAATTTTGATAAAGCAAATTGACCAAATAGTTAAGCGATTAAATTGCTTCCTGACCCGATTAGTGCTTAACATGGAAACATTACGTGTAAATAACTGTTTGCATCGTGTTTTTCATGCATTTGCATTCAACAGAGGGCTAGTTAGCGGATAAATTTAAATTAAATTAAATATTATTCAATATTATGGAAGCAAACAATATGAATGAATAAATAATTTCCAAGGAATTTGCCAATAACTAGCAAAGTAATTTTGTAGATGCCACAACTGGCTTCTGTAAAATTTTGAAACAAGCGACTATTTATTTGTGTAATTGCGACAAGTGTTTACATCTACGAGACTGTTGGTTTATGTTAGTAAATGTGAAAAAACAAAATTATTAACACTTGTGTGATAGAGGATCATAGTTTTTATAGCTAATAGTTGTTTTTTTGGGTCATTCTTGAAGCAATACAAAACGTTCCAACAATTCTTTTTACAGATATTTTGTTTTTTGACTAAAATATTTTGTTACTTTCAAATAAAATGATACGGGACTTTTTAAAGAAATTAATGGAAACATTTACCCTTGCAAAAGGGTATTCTTTATTTATTTTTAAAGAAATAAATGGAAACATTTACCCTTGCAATATATGGTTATTTAGAAAACGCTGTTTTCTTCTTTACTTTTGAATTGTGTTTAATGGAACTACATTTATCCACTGACATGTTAGGCCCGTAGTCTGCTGGAGGAAGGCATTTCTTTTGCTGTAGTTTTTGGAACAAGTACATGTATTTTAATTTTCTTGTAGATCCTACTTGCCCCCCCCCCCCCCCCCCCACGCCCAAAACACATTTTGTTGCCGTAAGGTGGAACTCTGACAGCCTTTGAAAAAATACTGGAAATGTAAAAGCCCACCCACCCCCTCCCCTAAAACACACACACACACACACACACACACACACACTTTGAAAAACGTTGCTAATGACCTGCAAGTCCAATAAGTAGTATGCCTCTATATGTCATTAGTTTGAAATATATTTTATTCATTACAAATGAAATGGATTGAACAGCAGGCATAATGCCTATAATCGTTCTCTCCATAGGTCATTCTATATGTCATTCAAATATGAGACTATTTTGTTGAAATATTAAAACAGTCCATACAAGTTTTATTGAAAACATTTAATGCCTGTCCACACCGAAAGAGGAAATTATGCTTGTCGACGGAAAGGAGGAGGGCTGGCCAAGCTATTTATTAATTTATTTTTAGCATGTTATCTAAAGTTAAGTTATTTAAATATCATATGTCACCAGTGTTTACATACTTGTCCAAATTCAAAAGCGGCTTGATCATATACGTCACTTATCTTGAAAATTTTCAGTAAAATTACATTCTAGTGAACCAAGTACTCTTATTAATTTCGGTTTCCTTATGTTTTTCGTAGACTTTTGATTCTATAACACTTGAAAGTGGCCTGGTACCCTTTAGGTATAGATATCGCTTCACTTCCATAATGTTATAACTCTGCCGTTTTTTAAAAATTTTTCAGCAATTTTCGCTCCAGGGTTTGGGGATGGGGCATATAAACTCTAACAGATTTTGAGTTTTTAACAACTAAAAGCACCCCCCCCCCCAAATCGTAAACAATTTGCCAAAGAGCTGAAAAAGGTATTCGGGGGTGGGGTGTAAAAACACGTACCAAAGTTAATTTCCTTCAGATATGGTTTATTCTACCTATTCCCACTTTTAGAAAATCAAAAAAAGGTAAATT